CGCATCCACACGCGGTTCCCAATATACAACTTCGACGAAATCTTTATATCGTATGTTCCTTCAACCTTTTGTCCCTGCCGCTCCGTTCACTCCCGTCCCTACCATCATCAACCCCCAAACCTATCCCCAAAGCCCCCTCCCCGCTGACCACGCACCGACTCACTCAGCGGAACCCAACACGCTCGGGGCCCATTTCGTAGCACAAAGCGAAACCGCCCGCCAAACCATGCCCCGCCACACCTGCGTCAAGATCGACGAGGATATCGAGACCTACTCGACCCTCGACCCAGCCCAATACACGCCCACCCCGACCCGACCCTTCCGCGGGATATTCGTCGGCGACTACGGCGTCCACGGCTGCGAGTTCATCTGGATCAACCAGCCTGACGACGACGACGACGACGACGACGACGACGACGACGACGACGACGGCAACACCCCGCCGAGCATCGAGCGCGCCGAGGGCGAGTCCGACGAGGATTATGCCGCGCGCCAACTCCACGCGGCCATCTACCGCGGCCGTCTGGAGGCTGTCAAGCTGACGGGCGACGCCAATGTGCCGCGCGGCGAGTACACGTTTGTGGTGGATGACCTGGGCGAGGCCGGGTTTGTGAGGGAGGAGACGAAGGACCCGTTCGCGCGTGCGAGGTTGGTGAGGAGTAGGGCGCAGCTTGCGAATAATGGGTTTCGGGATGGTGAGTTCCTTTGTTCTTGTTTCGTCTTCCTTCTCTATCATATCGTGTTGGGCTTGGGGCGAGCGGCTGCTAACTGACGGGCGGCGATGCAGCCACGTTCACCGATGCCGAGCTGTTCATAATATCGCCTGACCTGCTGGCGCATAACTGGCTGGCGTTGGGGCATATCAGCTACTTGAGACGTGTAGACATTGATAGGTTTATCTTCCCGGTTGAACACGGTGCTGGCATGTCGGGAATCTGACCGGTTTTAGGTACATGGGTGGGGGTACCGGACTTCTTAAGCCGATAGCTGCATTCTCCGGGCGGATACCTTGGGAGCGGTAGTATTTGGCTTAGAGGGTAGTCATTTTACTTTGTATGGGCTGGGGAATAACGAGAGGGGCGCTGGGGTGATTTTGCTTTGCCATCGCTGATACGGTATTGTGGCAGGGACCACTTAACTTGGTAAATAGGCCCTAATTCAACAGCAGGAAGCTGAGTAGCTAAACACCAGATCATCATATTACATTAAGCAAACAGCTTACTCAAACCTGTCTCCGAAGTTCATACGCCATGCTCTAACCAACAAGCTCAACCCAGCCTCCGGCGCCCGCTGCCCATACACGAGGAGTAACCAAAGCACACCGCTTGCCATACGACACAACAGAACTAAACACCCAAACCTAACTCTGCCCAAGAAACACCACCAACCCCGGCACTTTTCACGGCCCAAACCAACCCACCAACAACTAATTCCTCCCCCCATCCCCATTCCCCCCATTAGCAACCACCCCCTGCCTCCTCATCCCCTCCTTAACCTCCTCCGCCTCCTTCCGAAACCCGCACCCAAACGTCTCCCCCGTCGACCACGTCAACCCCCCCTTCCCATCCCCCGCCGCACCACCCGTACACCGCGGGCAGATCTTGACACGATGCCACGCCGTCGCCAGGTTCCCACGCACGTTATAAATCCCGCGATGGCTCTCCGGCTGGGTGTTGTACGCGTCATCGGTGGCCTTGACCACCAGCGTGGTGCACTGCTTGGGCGCCTTGCGGTCGTGGCAGCCGCTGCGTTCTGCTGCCGTGGTGGTGTCGGTGGTGGTGTCGGTGGGGAGGGTGAGGATGGGCAGGGCGCAGACATAGCGCCAGCGTGTCCAGGCCCAGGCCTTGTTGCCAGGGGGGGACTCGGCGCGGTCGTTGACGAGCTCTGCTTGGTCCCAGGTCTTGCCGCCGTCGAGGGACACGTCGACGCGCGTGATGGCGCGCCCGCCGCCGGAGTAGGCGTAGCCTTGCACAGCGACGGGCTCGTCGGCTGGGGTGGTGGGGGGGCAGGGGGTTGTGGGGAGCTTGGTGTCGGTGGTGTCGGTGGTGGTGGGCTTGGGGGTGAAGCCTACTTTTTTGGAGACGGCGGCCATGTCGAGGATGCGGCTGCCGTTGGGGGTGGCGGTGGAGTCGTTGCTGGCGCCCATCCAGGGGACACGGCCTCGACGCACGCAGTCGCCGACCCACACGCCAGTGATGGCACTGGTGACGGGCATTTCTTGGATCGAGACGGCGCGGTCCCAGTCGGGGTTTGCGCCTTCGTTGGGGCCGAAGGATTTGTAGTCACGGCGTTGCCACTGG